CCTGTCTTGTCTGAATTGAGTTGTACGGAGTGCAAGCCTGTGCTGTCCCTTAGACAGGTGATGCTGGAAGGTACTGGTTTGGCTCAGCGGTGAATGGAAAGATGAACTAACTGGAAGATGGGCGGCCAGGAAGTGTGGGGAAGATGGCTGTAGCTGGTCTCTGAGAATGAATACTGTATCGCACTACAACTCCATCAACAGGCATCTCCTCCAGAGGATGTAGGCAGGATGAAATGCTCTTCGGATGTTTGTCAGTTTCCCCAGTGTGTGTCTGTTCGACCCAGGTACAAGACACATGTACAAAGAATGAAGGACTCCTTGTCTGTCATATAAACATCATGGAGATCCCCTGGTTACCACTGGCATTGAGTACACACTCTGCTGGGATGGCATCAGAAGATGGCCTGTTTTGGGTACTCCTGGGTGGGTCCTTGACTGAGCCTGTGCTAGAAATGATGCCATGTGTCTGTGAAGGCTGGATGGAAAAAGTCACTCAGCTTCTGCCTGGCTCTCTAACGCTCACTTTCCACAAGTTTTTTCCTGGGATGTTCTCCTTCAAAGCCCAGAGGCAAGGCTGCCAGAGGTTGAAGGCACATAGTGGGACCTGGCCATAGGTGCTCTGGTCCATGGTCCTAGTTGAGCTCAGCCTTTTCTCACTATCTTATTCCAGTCAGGAGTGTGAGCCAAGATGCCCTGGCATTTGAGTCTGCCCACCCAACTGTCCTGCTACCATCTCACTGTCTTTTTAAAAGTATCTTATTTTATTTTACTTTATGTGTATGAGTTTATTGCTTGCATGTGTGTAAGTGCACCCATGTTGTGCAATGCCCACGAAGATCAGAAGAGGGTGTTGGATTCTCTGGAACTGGCGTTTCAGATGGTTATTAGTTTCCATGTGAATGCTGGGAACTGAACCTGGGTTCTCTGCAAGAGCAGCCAGTGCTCTTAACTGCTGAGCCAGTCCCCTATTCAACTATTTTAATGTGCTAGGGCTCTTATAATGAAATGCCACCAACTGAGTGGTAACAAAATAGCAGACATGTATTTCTCACAGCTCTGGGGGTTGTGAAGTTCATTATCAAGTTGCCTGCAGATGTGATGTCTTGTGAGGGCCTGCTTCTCATAGCTATCCTCTCACTGTAATGCCACATGGCAGAAGGCACTCTCTGGAGTCTCTTTTATAATATAAGGATACTAATTCCTTTCATAGGGGCTGTACCCTCAAAAGCCTCACCTTCTGACATCACCTTGGTGGGGGGCACTGTTATTTCAACACTGGAATTTGGGGGAACCATTCAGCCATAGAATTAAGTTCACCTGACTGAAGTCCTAGATACCGTAGAGCACAGAAGAAGCAACGTCTGTGTACACAAGGTCTATGGGCATAATGAAATGCTGGAGGTTATATACTACTCTGTCTGGTAGTTCACTGTTCTATAATACACAGCAGCAAGCCCAGCACTGGGCAGCAGCACACAGAGCCTTTTACCTGGGAGATCTGCCTGGGGGAAATGGGAGCTGTGCTGGACCCTCTTCTCTTGGAAGGAGTGGGGCTATGTTTTCTCAACTGGACCGTCTGACTTCCCATTAGGCTGTTGCTCCTATCCCCATCTATCTACTTATGGGGTGTCTTACTGTTTTGGCCTTTCACACACATTGAAGAAGGAATGCATTTCCCAACAGAAGTGACTATACAAGGGGCCGAGGAGGTGACTCAGTAAAGTGCTTTGCAAGAATAAGGACCTGAGTTTGAACCCTAGAACCCATGTTCAAAAAAAAAAAAAAAATGACACAGTGGTATAGGCTTGTAATCTCAACTCTGAGAGGCAGAGACAGGCAAGTCCCTGGGGTTTACTGACCAGTCATCCTGGTCTACTTAGTGAGTTCCAGACTGGTGAGAGACCCTGTCTCAAAAAACATGGTGGACAGCACCTGGAGAAAAACATCTCCACATGCACAGGGCATACATCATGGCATGGGATCAGCTCAGAGCTCATGTCTGGTGTTTGCCTCAGGGTCTGTGCAGAAAACTAAATGGTGTGAAGGGAAAGGTAGCTACATGTGAGTAAAGTGTCAAATGTGTCCTGAATTTCCTGGTTTAACTCTTGTACCACTGTGGTGTATAGACGATTCAGGGAGTTGCACGGATGGTAAGCAGGAACAGTTCATGTTATCTGTGCAGCTTTTATATATTTCTAACAGTATTTCAGAAGGAAAACCACCATGAATTGACTTTGCCAGTGAATGTCCATCATTGTAAGGCTGGGGAGGCTCCCGAGAGGCACAGAGGGTGGTTCATATGAGACCCAGCACCTCACTTGTCAAGGTCTCAGAGCCAGAGAACTGACTCAGGTTTGGCGTTGGGCAAGAGTTTGTAGGTATTTTTGTTGTGTTACGGATGGAACCCAGGGAGTGCTGGGACCTAACAAGAACAAGCCAGCCAGTTCTATGACAGTCAGAAAAACAGTTAAAAAATTAGTCACCATGACAGGTGAGAAAGAAGGATGGGGGGGCACAAGTCCAAAGAACAGGGGCAAACAGGCAGGTAGGAAGCTTCCTACTCCAGTCAGCATCCTCCACAGCTTTACTGAGCACCTACTGTGTGCTCAGCACCCCTGTTGCATGTGCTGCAGACGCACGGCACACAAGACAAAGGCTTTTTCACACAGCCTGTCACAGGGAGGATGGCCCCAGACCTCTGCCCGTATACTGCTAAAAAAGGAAACCAGAAGCCTCAGGGTGGGGGTGCGGGGAGGGGAATGCTCAGGAACTGAGTCCTGCATCTCCAGGCCAGGAGACTCTGTCTTCCTTTGTGGTCCATCCACTGTACTTGACTTACCAGCTGTCCACACTGTCTGGGCTCAGGGACAGAACTAGGAAGACAAGCTGAGCTTCAGGATTCTGGGTGGCACATCCCTAACCACAGCCTGCATTTCGCTCAATTCTTTTTCTTTAAAATTTTTATTTGTCAGGTGTGGTGGCACATGCCTTTAATCCCAGCACTGGGGATGGGGGTGGGGAGCAGAGGTAGGAGGATCCAGGCCAGCCTGGTCTACATAGCAAGTTCTAGGCCAGCTGGGGCTACAGGGAGGCCCTATATCAAATTTTTTTATTTGTATGTGCAGTTTGCATGTAAACATGAAGTTGTAGGATAACTTGCAGGAATATATTCTCTCCCCTCCACATGGGCTCTGGGGATGGAACTCAGGTCTTCAGGCTTGGGGACAGGTGCCTTTGTTCACTAAGCCATCTGCTATGCTCAGCTTCAATCATTTCTTGGCCCACACTGGAACCTCCTATCCAGGCCAGCCTGGTCTACATAGCAAGTTCTAGGCCAGCTGGGGCTACAGGGAGGCCCTATATCAAATTTTTTTCTTATTTGTATGTGCAGTTTGCATGTAAACATGAAGTTGTAGGATAACTTGCAGGAATATATTCTCTCCCCTCCACATGGGCTCTGGGGATGGAACTCAGGTCTTCAGGCTTGGGGACAGGTGCCTTTGTTCACTAAGCCATCTGCTATGCTCAGCTTCAATCATTTCTTGGCCCACACTGGAACCTCCTTCTGGTGCCTGCACTCTGTCATCGCTGTTTCTGGTATGAAGCCCTTTGCTGGGACCACTGAGTCTTCCAGGAGGGGGGTTCCCAGAAACGCAAAATTTCCCAGTGTCCCAGGAAACAGGCATCCGCTGTAACGCATTTCATGCTAGCACTGGCTTCCAGGGCAGGTCTGGCCCTGCTGAGTCTCGGGACCAAGAACAGAGCCCAGCTGACCTCTCAGTGTGAGATAAATATGTGTGGATGGAATGAATGAACGAATTAATTTAAGAATGAAGGCGAGGCAAAGCACCCAGGGCTCCTCTGTCCCAGGGTCCCACCCATCCCTTTTAGTCCACAGCACCCACTGTTTTAGTGTCTGTGTGCTCCCGCTCCCTGCAAACCAAAATGTGAGTCTCCTTATTTAAAAACGAAGAAATTGAAAGCCGCAACAGCAGTGTTAAACCCAGGGGGAGTGGGGGGGGGGGTCCCTGGCGGCAGGCCTGGGCACTGTCCAGGTGGCCCACCTGTGCCGCACTGCCCTCTCGGAGGCTCGGGTGCCCCTCTTGCTGCTTGCTGAGCTCCAGGCTCTCCTCTGGGGCACTGTCGACCTTAACACGCCCTTTCCCTTTCGCAGAAACCCGCTGCACTTCCTCGTGGTGGCACTGGAGCGATCGCCTGGGGGACAGTGGCAGGCGCCCGGCACCGCACCCGGGCTTGAGGCTTTGGGTGGGAGGCATTTGGGTGCCCCGGGCAATGGGGCCGCAAGGGGAACCTTCTCCCAAATCTGCTACCCCTGGAAGTGAGACGAGGGAGGGTTGGCCTCTCTCTCCTTGAGTAGCAGCTCCAGTCTCATCCAGCAATGGGCCCTCGGTCAAACTAAGAGACTAAACTAAGAGACTCCCAGCCCCCCAAAACCTCCCCTTCTCTGCTCCCCACCTAGAGCCAGACACCCTCGAGACCAGAGAGCCAGAACACACCCCGAAGACAGACGGAGGGACCGGGACACACAGAGAGGGACAGTGCACTAGGCCCCTGCTGGCCCACCCAGACTTCTGGGGATGGGGACACAACCCTCGGTAGCCTCCGCTCGCCCAGTCATCCCTGGGGCTGGCGACCGAGACCACCTGAGTCCTCTGGCACCCCACCCGATGGTGTCCGAGCAGCACCTGCCGCGGTTCTGCGTTTCCGGGGCGCCGGGGTGGGGTGGGCGGGCGTGGGCACAGGGGTGAGGTGCGGGTGGCACCACGGGGCGGGGTGCAGGGAGAGGAGCGGGCGGCGGGCATCCGGGGTTCCGGGAGGGAGGCTGGCGGCGGGGACCCGGCTGGGACCGGAGCGCAGGGAGGAGGGCAGGATCGGAGGGCACGGGGGAGCAGGGCTGGTGCCCAGAGGGCGTGGGACAAGGACCCGAGCCAGGAGCAGCGCGCTGGCCGGGCGCAGCCGTCCGGAGGCCAGACTGGAAGATGCCGGAGGGCCGGAGCCTGCAGGTCCCGTCCGCAGCATCCGCGGGCGCCTCGCAGGCTGCGCCGTCGGGGACCGCCGCCTGCCCTTCGTGCCCGCCATCCCCAGCCCGGGGGTCCCCGCAGACCGCGGGTGCCAGGCGCCGTGCCAGCGTCCCGCAGAAGCTGGCGGAGGCGCTGAGCAGCCAGTACGGGCTGAACGTGTTCGTGGCGGGGCTGCTGCTCCTGCTGGCCTGGGCGGTGCACGCGGCCGGCGTGGGCAAGCGCGACCTGCTGTGCCTGTTAACCGCGCTCATGATGCTGCAGCTGCTGTGGATGCTGTGGTACGTGGGCCGCAGCTACGCGCAGCGCCGCCTCATCCGGCCCAAGGACACACAAGCGGGCGCGCGCTGGCTCCGTGGTGAGTGCAGCCCGGCCGCCCTGGGGTCCTCTCCTGGGGAATCTGACTTCGGACTTCTCTGCCTCGGAGATCTTTCCCGCTCCCTTCTGGGGTTCCCACCTCTTAAGCCTGGATGCACTCTGTCTCCAGGTTCTGCTGCGATTGCACAAGTCTGCTCTCAGCTCTCCCTGCTTAAAGCTCTGCAGACACAGCACTGGAAGCCCCCAAGTCTTTGCACACTCCGTTCCTCCTGGAATGCCAGTCCACCCCCCCTCTGCCCTTCTCTGCTCTGCAAGCCTCAGCCCAGGCCTCCCTGAGCCCTCCAGGAAGTATTTCCCACCACTCCCCTGTGGGTCTGCCTTCACCCCGACTCTTGCTGAGGCCTGGACACTGTTCTTGTCCAGGCAGCTGCCCCTCCACCCCAGGGGGTAGCCCCAGGATCCCCCTCTTTTGGTCCTAGAACCACATAGCACCTGTTGTGGAGCTGGTGCTCAGAGACCTCTGGCTGAGTTGGCCTGTTGGAGTGACCGCCTGCTAGAGCCTTTGTCCGTCTTGAAAACAGACTGGAAGCAGGTCAAAGGGGGTGGAGGAAATGCAGGGCAAAGGGAGAGGGCCTTGTTCCAGGGCAAGGGTGGCCTCTTCCCACCTTCTCATCTTAGACTGTAATTTCAGCCCTCCCACGTTCCTTGAACCCTTGAACTCAGGCAATTTCCTTGGCCTCCTCCTACCCCAGCCCTAGACTCATCAGAGGGGGATCCTGCCCCATGTGGGACCAGAGGACACAGAATGGGGCCCTTCAAAGATCTGGCCCCAGGACACCCTCCTCAAGGCCATGGGGCCAACCACCCCTCTGAGAGCTCTTTTGGTCCCAGCAAGTTTCAGGGTCTAGGCTAGCTTATCTTGCCCTTTGGAAAACTGAACACCATTGTCGGGCTGCCTAATCCCAGAGAAGGGGTTTTAAAGTGCTCACAGGTTTGGTACTTGTGAATGGCAGGGACTCAGTGCCACATACAGACAGGACTAGCAGTCCTACCTTGAGATTTTGGCATTGTGCCTGTTTTTTCCCAGTGGATGCATCCTTTCTTCCTCCCTCACCTCCTCTCTCTTCCACCCTTTTTTCCCTTTAGCTCTTCCTTAATCCCTCCCTCTGTTCCCCTTCCCTCCCTCTCTGTCCTGTCCTCCTTGTTCCTTACTTACTCTTTTCACTTCCCATTTTTCCTCCCCTACCCTCCGTGCCTACCCCTCCCTCCCTCCTTCCCTTCCTCCATCCCTCCCTCCCTTCTTCCCTCCATCTCTGAATGGTCCTGTTATTTCCCAAGGTTGGAAAGCCAGAAGAAGCAGGCGTGTATATGCTCAGGGTTTCCCTGTGGACACATTCGACATGTTTTGGACACCACTAGAGATGAAATAGATGAGGTGGAGAGAGAACAGCACACAGTAGGCTGTGTGGACCCTCAGGAAGGTGTACCCGGGAGGAAGGGAGGGAAGAGGGGAGAGAGGAGGAGAAAGAAGGAGCAGGGTAGAAGGCTCATGCTGACCCAGGGAGTCCTGGGGTTGCCAGGACTCTGAGGACTGCTGAGCATCTGGCCTAGGGGGCTGCAAAGCCCTGTGAGAGGTCCTATGTTGGAGTCTGGTACCTTAAAGAAGGGGGTGATCAGTATGGGCTCCATAGGATTCCACGTGACCCCTGGGAGAGCAGCACACAGCTGGATGTGGAGATTCTCTGAAAGTTGCTCCTAGTGATGGAGTCTTTCCAGACAGACACATGGTGCTGGCTCTGAAGACACGGTTTGCAGGCTACCCTCTCTCCTTCCTCTCTCTGAGCTCTCTCAGGAGTTAGATAAGAATCACCGCTGCAAAGCTGCCAGGTTCCTCAGGGAGCAACAGGAAGATGTTGAGAGAAAGTGGTTTGCCAGGCCCTGGCAGTTCCTTTGAACAGCTGAGTTCATTTGGAAACCAAGAGGCAGTTAGGAGGCCATGGTGCCAAGAGGAAGCACCTTCGCCCAGCAGGAGACTGAGGTTTCCCTGGAGTCCCAGCTGGAAGACAGGTTTGACTGGGATCTCAGCCCAGCCTCTGGTGAGGACAGTGTCCTAAGGCTGATGCTTTGGGAAGGAGCCACCCTGGGAACTTGAGACACTGAGGTTTTCTACTGGAAATTATGGGTCTTGGTTTGACCTACAAGGCATCTCTACGAGCAGGAAGTATTCCATTTCACTTCCAGCAAGGAAGGAAATATTTTTCTTTGCAATACGAAATCATGATTTACTTAAAAAATTGGTAGTGGTGGTGATCATTAAGTCCCTCTTTGCTAAGTGAGGGGATGGGTTTCCTTAGTGGGAGTAGGGTGTGAGAGGGATGACTGCAGTTGGGTCCCCTCCCCTGTCTTGGGAACGCCTGGTGAGCTGCCTCCTTGCCTGTTAATTACCATTCACTGCTCCTCTTCCTTCGTTACTGGTCTGTTTAAATGATGGTCAAGGGGATTTCCAATTTTCTTGTTTCTGTTCAGAGTTGTGGGATGAAGAGTTGCAGCTGTGTTTGTTGGGTGCATTTGGAATGCCAGGCCCATTACAGCCTCTGTCATGGTGGTTTTTGGAGGCGGTTCTGTTTTGTGAATGAATGATCACCCCTGAATTTATTCTTTCTATGATTCAGATTTTCATATAGGTTTTTTTTTTTTTCTAAGGAGACACATCTATACCTGTGACTCGCCACACCTCTGTTTACATGCCACCATACGCTATCTGTGGGGGTGTTGGGGGGGGCAGTTTCACCGTTTCTAAAGAACCAGAGGTATTCCAGAGATGGTAGGGCAAGCTGCAGGGGTGAAGGCCAAGAGCATGATGACTGCCTGGGACAGGGAAGGAGTGAGTGTGTGTGTGTGTGTGTGTGTGTGTGTGTGTGTGTGTGTGTGTGGTGGGGGGGGGTCGGGGCGTCCGAGAAGGGGGGGAAAACAAGAGGAGG